CTTTTGTGACTGAGATATTTCATGTAGCATAATGTCCTCCAGGGTCACCCATTTTACATAATAGTTCATTAGTTCCTTGCTTTTCAAAGCAGTGAAGTATTGCATTATATAAATATGCCACAGCTTCTGTATCCTTTCATTTGTCGATGGGCATTTGGATTGTTTCCAACTCTTAGCTATTGTTCATAAAGCAGCAATAAACATGAATGTGTATATATCTGCCTGGGTGGCAGTTATGGGTTCTTTAGGGTAAATTCTCAGTAGTGGAATTGCTGGGTCAAATGGTATTTCTATTTGCAACTTTTTGAGAAAGCACCGTACAACCTTCCATAGTGGTTGCACTATTTTACATTCCCAAAACCAGTTATTAAGAGTTCAAGTTTATCCACAAACTTGTAAGCATTTGTTGTTTGCTATTCTGTTAAATTTTGCTATTCTGACTGGGGTGAGATGATATCTCATAGTTGTTTTGATTTGCATCTCTCTTTGAGCTAGGGATTTTGAACATTTCTTCATGTGCTTGTTGGCCATCTTCTTTGGTGAAGTGTCTGTTCATACCCTGTGGCCATTTTGCAAGTGGGTTGTTTACCTTTATCTTGCTCTAGTGTTTGAATATTCTATAAATTCTAGATATGAGCCCCTTATCAGAAATATCATTACCAGGTATTCTTTCCCAGTCTGTGGCTTTCCTTTTTCCCTGTTGGAGAAGTTTTTGGATGTGCATAGGGATTTGATTCTTACAAGGTCCCATTCCTCTATTTTATCCTCTCCTGGTTGTAAGTTTTTCAAGTTGCTTGGAAGGCTCTTTATGTTGTGGATTCTAGAGTTCTTCCAAGCTTTTCTTTAATGAAGTTTATAGTTTTTGGTTTTAGTCGTAGGTCCATGATCCACCTAGAGTTGGTTTTTGTTTATGGAGTGAGGTATGAATCTTGCTAGAGTTTTCCACAAATAGTTTTCCAGTTTTGCCAGCACCATTTGTTTAAAAGGCTGTCATTTCCCCACTTAACAGATTTTATCTCATTCTCAAAAATCAGTCGACCATATGTAGATGGGCTGATTTCTAGATTCTCAATTCTATTCCATTGATCTATGGGTCTGTCATTGTACCAGTACCACACTGTCTTGACCACCACTGCAGTGTACTTGGATTTGAAATCAGGGAGTGTTGCCTCTTACCTTGTTTCTCTTTTTAAGGAGTGCTTTGCTTATTCAGGGCCTCTTTCCATTCCAAATGAAACTGGAGATTGCCTTTTCCATCTCATTAAAAAATAAGGTTGGTGTTTGTATTGGGATTTCATTAAAATGTAAATTGCCTTTAATAGTATCGTCATTTTCACAATATTGAGTCTTCCTATCCAAGAGCAAGGAATATTCTTCCATTTCTACAAGTCTATTTTTTTCTTGTAGTAATATTTTATAATTTTCTTGGAATAGATCATTTGTGTTTCTGTTTAGATTTACTCCCATGTATTTAATCTTGTAATTAGCTTTTGTGAAGGGAAGGGTGTATGCCAGTGATGTGTCCTATCTCCATACCTTTTAAACCTATATGCAGAACAGATTACCGGGGAGGCTGGGCTCTATGAGGAGAAGTGTGGCATCAGGATTGGTGGAAGGTCCATCAACAATCCGTGTTATGCGAACGACACAACCTGCTTGATGAAACTGAAAAGGACCTGAAGTGCTTGCTGCTGAGCCAGGTTTTTAAGCCTTCAATATGGATTAAGGCTCAATATCAAGAAGACAAAGATTTTCTCCACTGGGCCAATTGGCAGCATCAGGATGGGTGGTGAGATTGATATTGTTCACAGCTTTAGTTTGCTTGGCTCCACAATCAACACTCTTGGCACCAGCAGCCAAGAAATTAAAAGATGTATTGCGATGGGAAAGTCTGCTGTTAGGGACCTCCCCAGGGTCCTTAGGAGCAATGGTATCACTCTGGAGACTAAAGTGCACCTGATACAGGCCATGGTTTTTGCAATCACTTGCTATTCATCAGAGAGGTGGACAATGACTAGGGAGGATAGAAGGAGAATTGATGCCTTTGAGGTGTGGTTCTGGAGAAGAATATTGAATGTAATATTGACTGCTAAGAAAACAAACAGGTTCATCTTGGAGAGGGTTAAACCAGGCTGCTCCTTGGAGGCAACATAATTTGGACATGTTGCAAGGAGGGACCAGTCCTTGGAGAGGGATGTCATGCTTGGGAGGGTTGACAGATAGCTCAAGAGGGGAAAACCCTCTATGAGATGGATTGATTCAGTGACTGGGGTAATCGGGGTTGGTGTGTCAGAGACAGTGAGATTGGCACAGGATAGAGCAAGGTTCAGGGCTGTTTTACATAGGGTCACTATGAGGTGCAAGCAACTAGACGGCACATAACAACAACAACAGCAACATTTGTTTTTCTTACCTCCTGATCTGCATTCCTTTTGTCACTGTAGAGAAATCCAGCTGATTTTTATATGTTGATCTTTTATTCTGCCACTTTGCTGAATTGGTCAACTATGTCCAGTAGTTTTCTTGCTGAGTCTTTAGGGTTTTCTTAGTATACTATCATATCATCTGCACAGAGAGATAATTTTACCTCCTCTTTGCCAATTTGTATAACTCTTATTTTCATCACTTGTCTTATTGCTATCACTAAGACTTCCAATACAATATGAATAAGAGAGATAGTAATGGGCATCCTTGGCTAGTTCCTGTTCTTAAAGGGAATGTCTTTAATCTTTCTCTGTTGAGAACCATGCTGGCTCTCGAGTTTGCATATATACTTTTTACTATGTTGAAGAAATTCCTCTCTAATCCTATTTCGTTGAGTGTTTTAATCAGGAAAGGGTGTTGGATTTTGTCAAAGGCCTTTTTTTGCTTCCATTGATAGGATTGTGTAGATTAGTTACATTAACTCTTTTTCTTATGTTGAACCATCTTTGCATACCTGTTAGGAATACGACTTGGTCATGATGATTTTATTTTTTTTTAATGTACTGTCTTTTCTGTAAGCTGGGATTTTATTTAGGATTTTTTACATCTATGTTCATGGGAGATATTGACCTACAGTTTTAAATTTTGCTGATGTCTTTACCTTACTTTGGTATTAGGAATATGTTTATTTCATAGAATCGATACTTCATATTCTGTGTGTGTGTGTGTGTGTGTGTGTGTGTGTGTGTGTGTGTACCGTCAAATTGGATCTGACTGGTACAGGAGGAGATTTCCCCTCCTTCTCCAGCAGAGCATCTGTTGAATTTGAACCGTGTACCTTTGGGATTGCAGTGCAACTTCTTGCCACTAGGCCACCAGAGCGCCCTGATACTTCAAATTCTTGATGTGATATGATAGTAATGATATTTTAACTTTCTTGGTCTTCTTTCTCAAAACACATACCCTCAGTCTAGCCATGCAAAAAAAAATAGATAAATTCCATTTGAGGGACGTGCTACAAAATACTTGACCTGTATCCTTCAAATTTTGAGGGTCATAAAAACAGAGGAAGTATAGGAGCAATCAACTAAATATAATTTGATGTCCTTGGAAGGGACAATGAATCAAAAAAAAAAAGCATTGAGGAGCAAACTCTGAGGGACTATTAAAAAAGAGTATAATTTAGTCAATAATTAAGCACGATTATTGATTCAATAGTTGTAACAATTGCACCATTGTTATGCAAGACATTAGTAATAGGAAAAATTGGATATGAGGTACAAAGAAACTCTCTGTACTTTCATTGGTATAATTATATAACTCTATACTTTCCTAAAATATGCTATTTTTTTAAAGAAAAGAAAAGCAAACAGAGATGAGGCAAAGGGGTATATTGGCAGAATTTAATGAGAGTGATAAATGGAAAGGGAATGAGTAGATAAATAGTAGCAGAACTCTTAAGGGATAGAGAAATATAGTGTTGTCATTGAAGCTGGATTAGACCCCTTTATAATCTTGACAGAGTATGCCCAAATATAAGAAAATACTACGTATTACTAAGAGTGAGATTAGAAAGAATGCTATCAAGATTCTGGGAATTCTGCCTACCACAAACAGACTAAACTTGCTTTTACTTCTCCAGCAGACCTATCTCCACATCACTTCATAATTTTTAAGTGGTGATCTTTTTTTTTTACCCCTTTCATATTGTAATTAATGTTTTAAAAATATTTTAATGGTTTTCCCAAGGACTATAAACTTCATTAGAGAAAAGCTTGGAAAAACTCCAGAAGCCCTAATCCACAACATGAGCAAGCTTCCAAGCATCTTGAAAAACCTCCAACCAGGAGAGGATAAAATATATTAATGGGACTTTCTAAGAGTAAAATCCTTGTGCACATCCAAAAACTTCTCCAACAGGGTAAAAGATAAAGCCACAGACTGGGAAAGAATACTTGGTAATGATATGTCTGAAGGAACTTATATCTAGAATTTATAGAATATTCGAGTTCCATAGAAAGATAAAGGTAAATAATGCAATTGAAAAATGGGCACAGGATATGAACAGACACTTCACCAAAGAAGACATTCAGATGGCCAACAAGCACATGAAGAAATGCTCCAAATCCCTAGCTCTAAGAGAGATGCAAATCGAAACAACTATGAGATATCATCTCACCCCAGTAAGAATCGCAAATTTTAACAGAGCAGCAAGGAATAAATGCTGGTGAGGTTGTGGATGAACTTAAACCCTTATTCACTGTTGGTGGGAGTGTGAAATAGTGCAACCACACTGGAAGACAGTATGGCTCTTTCTTAAAAAAACTGGAAATAGAAATACCATTTGACCCAGAAATTCCTCTACTTGCATTATACGTTAAATAAACCATAGCTGCCATCCAAGCAGATATATGCATATCCATTTTTTTAAACAAAACACATAACTTTATTTCAGATAAAATTAACATTTCCATTAATTTAGGGCAAAAGCAAAATAGCACTTCCTTATCATGATTCCAGGAAGGAGCGACGGAGCCTTCTGCAGGGACGGGCTCCTGCGTGCCCTCTACCTCTGCCTACATACTCGAGGACAGCTTCTGTAGCCTTTTCTTGTTAGGGATGCCCGTTCTTCTGAACTCTTCCCTCTCTCTGAGGTATTCTGCTTTGCATTCTTCATAAAAAGCCGGATCCTTATGGTGAGCGGTGAGACAATCTTTTAGTGCAGAATTTTCTTTCCGGCATTTTACCACCATGAGAATTCCAGAATCCTGGCAACATTTGGTAAAGTCTTGAACGTGTTCAGAACATCTCTCTCTCGCCTTCTCTCTCATTATTTTAGGGATCAAAACATCTTTCTCGACATGCCTGAGATGCTGATCTGCAGGATCGAGCGCCATCGCGGCGGGCGGACCCGGAAGTTGCCTCGCAGCGGCCGCCCAAGGGGGTGGAGGCGTTAAAAGGGCGGAATCTCTGCCGGGGCCCACGACCGACCAACGGCCTGCAACTTCCCACGTGCCGAAGCATATCCATTTTTATCACTGCATTTTTTACAATAGCAAAGAGATGGAAACCACTCAAGTGCCCATCAATAAACAAATGGATAGAGAATTTTCTTTATATTCACACAATGGAATACTATGCTACATTGAAAAACCAGAAACTCATGAACTATTATACAAAATGAGTGAACCGGAGGACATTATGCTGAGTGAAATATCTCAGTCACAAAAGAACAAATACTGCATAACGCTATTGTTATAAAACAGGACTCATATTGGGGTTAGAGGGAAACTAAGAAAAGAGTAGATAAATAATGTACACTGCATTGAACCAGATGAGGGACATAACTGCTTTAAAGGAATGTATGATTAGGTATTATTTGCATGACAACTGTCCAGAATAAGAGCTACATAGTAAAGTGTACTGGGGGTGAGGAGTGGTACAACAATGAAAGAATTTTTTTTTTCAAAGAGAAAAGCACACTGGAGATGTGCAGGGAGAAAAATGTGGAACAATAAATGAATGGAAATCCAAGTTCTCTATAAATTTTCATTAAAATATAAAAAATATTTTATTGGTTTTCATAGAATAATTCCTTTACATTATTTTTCATTGTGTTTTATACAAAATTTCATTTACATTGTGTTTCATACAATCATTCATATACATTCTTTTTTACATTTTTTAATGGAATTGCTTATAAAGTTTACACATATTGTTTCACACTACTCTTCATTCACATTTTGCTTCATAAATAGAAAAGGTTCTCTATTTATACACCACGTTGTTCTCCTGGCTGTTTGATCATGAAGAGGAGACATAGCTTTGACATTAGAAGAAGTCCATAGGGGACAAAAAAAAATAGGAAGAGTCTGTATTTCCAAGAAGTTAAAAAATAAAATACAAATCCTTGGTGAGCAAGATTGTTATTATTGTGTACCATCAAATCAAAACTGACTCAGATGACCCTCAGGTGCATTTTTACAGACAGTTAATCACATGGGAGGAGTTTGCCTATTCCTTTCCCGCAGAGCAGCTGGTGGATTCGAACTGTGTGCCCTTGGGATTGCAGCACAGCTTATTGACACTGAGCCATTAGAGCTCCATATTTGAGACTGATAAAACGGTAGAATTGAAAGATGGCTTAGAGGTTATCTTTGCTACCTACTTCAATATCTAATGCAATTTCTAATTAATATGCTATATCTTAAATTCTAGCACTGCGATGGAAGTTGAGGAGAGGACATATAGTAACCCAAGAAATTTGCAATGGACTACTTATTTAAAAGTTGCCAAATTCAATCTACTCAATTGCTCTGCAAAAGTAAAGGCCTGGAAATTTGCTTCTATATGAACTACAGTCAAGAATACCCTGATGGTGGCGAGATCATGTTCCATTCTGTGGTACATGGGATTGTTATATTATGTTCCGGGGGCTAACTTGATGACATCTTACCAAAAATAAAGTTGCTTTTTATTATACGAAAGCATTATATAATAAACATTATATTTATTATATTAAAAACAGAAATTGTGTCTATGATAACTTCACAGTATTGTAACTAAGATTAATGTGTATTTTTCTTGGACCCTACATTGAGTCCACATTGAACTCCTATTGTTAATTCTGTGGAAGATTTTAAAGCAGCATCTAGCTATTTTCCATCATCAAGAAAGACGAGATCTTAACTGAAATGATATTTTAGGTCATTTCCATGGACACTTATCAATATCAACAAACCAACTTATACCAATCAATTATTAAAAAAATCTATAAACTGGTATGGGGCAAGGGAAGATAGGAATCATAGTAGATGACAATCTGAGTTTCTGAAAATCTGGTAAGGATTTGTTATGTAGCTCGAATAAATTATTTTAATTTATTGAAATGTTATTCACACTACCAGCCTTCAAAAAATATTCTATTGTAGATGAGGCATAACTGTACACATAAACTCCAGCCCAAATCAAAAGACCACTAACTGCAAAGTTGAGCAGTATTTCCACACAGCACTCACCTTAGAACACAAGTGTAGAATCCACTATCTTGTGCCTCAGCTGAGTGAAACCATATTGAATCTTCCTCTTTGCTCATTCTGACCTCTGAGAAGATGATGGGCTCTTCCAAATCACCCTTATTTTTGTACCACATGAGCCTGAGTCCAGTGCTCTGAGCCATGCTATAGTTAGTGCGAATATAACTGTAAAAAAGAGCACATTTCACTCTGACTGGTTCACCTGCCAAAGCCATGTATGTCTTGAGATCCACTGACCAGTCAATGCAGCCATCCACTGAAAGAAAAACAAACAAGACATAAGCTCTAGTGAGCATTATTGATAATAACAGTTATAACAGCAATCACTGGCAACATACTCTGAGGACTCACTATGAGAGGCTTTACCCAGAGCTTTATGTAGATTATCTCATTCAATCTTCCCAATAACTTTATTAAAGATGTCAGTATCCTCCTTAGATTTGAGCAGCAGAGACCTCACCCTGACTTTTTAGATTTGGTATTTTTGGAAGTCCATGAGATATTTAGTCCTCTTCTCAACACGTTGTTTCTGCTTACAACATTGACAGGAACTACTGCACTACCTATTTGACTCTGAGAAAGTAAATGCCTGGCTTGAAAGTAATAAGTTCCCAAAGTGATTATTATTTGCTACTACCTATATGCCAGTTTTTCATGGAACAGCATATTAATAGTAGACTATTTGAGCACAGGTATATTCATTCCTACACCGTTAGACCTCCTTTGCTGCACAGTTGTTTTGTGCTCATGAGGATATATTAATATCAGCATTAATAAAATACTGTTAGGTTGCTAAATCTACCATTAAAGAAAGACATGTAACAGTAAATTCTTTCTTTGCTAGACGATTGGAAAGAAGGCAGTGTGGTTCATTTAACATGAAGTCAATATAATTACTACAGATATCAGACTTCAAATTATTTATTTTCCTAGAATTTCATCAAATTATGCTAATTTCCTTTCTATTACTTGATTACTGAAATAGTCTTTTCATAAAATATAAAGAGATTGCCATTTAAAAATTATGCTTCTTGTACATATAATGCCTAATAATATATTCATTTTGGACAGTTCTTTCTTTCATCTGTTCCAAAGCAATGGTCATTATCCATCCAGGCTTATTCTATTCTCCTCCCAACCCTCATGTCAGACCTACTGGTACTATGCAGTATTTGTCCTACTGAGACTGAGATATTTCACTCAACATGATTTGTTCCAGGGTCCCCTGTGTTGTGTGATGGTTTGCAAGTTCATTGTTTCTTACTGTCACATAGTATTTCTTTGTATGAGTATGCCATAGTTTTTCTATCCATTTTCTTTTTGATGGACACTTGTGTTGCTTCCATCTCTTTTCTATTGTAAATAACACAGCAATAAACTCAGGTGTGCGTATCTGTCTGGATGGCGGTTCTAGATTCTTTAGGTATATTCTCAGTAGTGTAATTGCTGAATCAAACGGTATTTTTATTTGTTACTTTTTGAGAAAGTACCAAATCGCCTTCCAATAGTAGTTGCACCATTTTATACAATAAATAGCCCAGGATAACAGATATATCATTTCAAAGAGGAGTGGGGTGGCGCGGGTAGGTAATTGTGCAAAAGTGAGTGAATATTGGGGGAAAAAAGAGAACTGAGGGAAGGGTGAAAGAAGGACTACGGAGTAAAATGTACAACAATGGAAATCCAACTCCTGTGTATTTGTTCATTAAAATCATAATTAACGTAAAATTTTATTTTTAAAAAATTATGCTTCATATTAAAGTTGTGAATTGTTCTGATTTTCATTTTAGTCATTAGAACTCAGTATAATCCAGCTCAAAACTAAATGTAAGTCTCAAGTTTAATAACTATGTTACCAAAAGGGTTTTTGAAAGAGTCTTTGACCTGAGGTTGAAGGACACCTAGGGGAAGGGTGCCAGAATAGATTTCAAGATTGTTGGAAAAATGATATGACAATTTACATAAGCAAACTTTTCTGGGGGAGATTTTCCCTAGCTCTTTCTTTATGAGACCTTCAAAGGGATCTGTGACCTAGAAAAGTTTTTGAACTCTGGCTTAGGATCTCTTGTGCTGACTTCATTTTTCACTGCCCTGCTGGGTAAGGACATTTACTATAAGCTGCTGCAAATTCTCTTAAAGAATATAAGGTGTATCACAATTTCTTCATCCATTTGGTTGTGGTTGGACATTTGGGCTCTTTCCACGTTCTTGTGGTGGCAAATAATGCTGCTATAAACATTGGTGTGCAAATCTCTGTTTGTGTCTCAGTTCTAATTTTTTGGGGAGGTATGTTTCTAATAGTGGAATAGCTGGATCATATGGAGTTTCAATGCTCAACTCTTTGAGGAAACACTAAACTGCCTTCAAGAGTGGTTGCACCATTTTACAATCCCAGCAATAATGTATGAGGGTTTCCACCTATCCACATCCTCTCCAACATTTATTGCTTACTGCCCTACTAAACTTTGCCACTGGGGTGAGATGGTATCTCGTAGTGGTTTTGATTTGCACCTTTCTAATTGCCACTGATTTTGAACATTTCTTCACACAATGAAATACTATGCATCACTCAGAAGTAATGATCTTAAAAAAATACTACATAACTTGGAAAAGGCTGGAGAGCATTATACTGAGTGAACTAACACAGTCTCATAAGAACAAATACTGAAAAAAACATTATTGTAAAAATAGAAAGATAACTAGTAAAACATATATGGGAACTTAATGTGGGGAGGACAGAGAATGAGTAGCGGCAAAACAACAGAGTTGCACAGTTTGGTAGGTGGAGAGGGGAGAGAAGGAAATGAGAAGGATCCAGGCAAAAAGACAGCATAATTATGGGCAAGGGTCCAATAATGATTAATTTTATAAAACATATCATTGATATCACATGCAAACAAGATTCTGAGGAAGATTATCCAAAAGCGACTGGAACAGCAGAGAACTGCCTGAAGTGTAGGCTGGGTTTAGAAGAGGCCGTGGTAGTAGGGATATTATAGTTAATGTTAGATGGATCTGGGCTGAAAGCAAAGTGTACCAAAGGAATGTATATCTGTGTTTCATCGACTATGCAAAGACATTTGACAGTGTGGATCACAACAAACTTTGGCTGACTCTGAAAAGAATGATAATCCCAGAACAGTTGATTGTGCTTATGCGAAACTTATACTTGGACCAGAAGTCAGTTGTCAGAACAGAGCAAAGGAACACTGCATGGTTCAAAATTGGGAAGATTGTAGGCCAGGGATGTGTCCTATCCCCATAGCTTTTCAATCTATATGCAAAATAGATTATCTGGGAAGCTGGTCTGTATGAGGAGGAATGTGGCATCGGGATTGTAGGAAAATTCATCAATAATCTGTGCTATGTAGGTAACACAACCTTGCTTGCTGAAACTGACGAGAACCTGAGACATTTGCTGCAGAAGGTCAAGGACTACAACCTTCAATATGGATTGAGGCTCAACATCAAGAAAACAAAGATTCTCACCACTGAGCCGATTGGCAGCATCATGATAGATGGTGAAGAGATAGAAATTGTGAACAGTTTTAGTTTGCTTGGCTCCACATACAATCAACACTCATGGAACCAGCAGCCAGGAAATTAAAAGATCAATTGCATTGGGAATGTCGGCTGTCAAGGACTTCTCCAGAGTACTGAAGAGAGATGATGTCAGACTGGAGATTAAAGTATGCCTAATCCAGGTCATAGTCTTTGCAATTACTCTATATGTATCAGAAAACTGTACCATGACTAGGGATGATAGAAAGAGAATTGATGCCTTTGAGCTGTGGTGCTGGAGAAGAGTACTGAACATACCATGAACTGCTAGAACAAACAGATTCATCCTAGAGAGGGTGAGACCAGGTTCCTCCTTGGAAGCAAGGATTCTGAAGCTCCATCTGACATACTTTAAACATGTTTCAAGGTGGAACCAGTTCCTGGGTAGGGACATCATGCTTGGGATGGTGGAGGGCCAGCACAAGAGAGAAAGACCCTTAATGAGATGGATTGATTCAGTGACTGGGGTAACGGGGTTAAGTGTATTAGAGACAATAAGATTGACAGAGTAAAGAGTAGAGTTTAGGGCTGTTGTACACAGGGTTGCTATGAGTTGCAGGCAGCTTGATGGCACATAAAAACAATGACAACAATGCATGGGAATGATTATATGAAACACACTCTGTAGAATAGTGTGAAACACAATGTTTATGAATTTTATAAGCAAGTCAATAAAAAATAAGGTGTAACATGTAAATATTCAAATGAATATATTTATAACTTATGGTCATTTGAACACTCTTTTGAGGATTCAGAGAGCACTCTATTCACCATATGGATTTTTATCATTTTTGTGTACTGCTAAAGCCAAGAAGGTATTGTGAATTAGACTAAATATATACCAATTATTTTGTATATCTTCAGGTATTTTAAAATATACTATTTGGCATTGCCTTATTTACCTCACAATTGTCACTCTTAAAACTGTCAAGAACAAAGGAAAACCCTTATTAGCTGAACTTTCTGGGTTTCATGAAATTACTGGTAAAACGCCTCTGGATTAAATATAATATTAACAGAGGATGCTATTGTCATCTTTAAGTGAATTTTACATTACTCCCTTTTTAGGGAATTTCTGTGATACTTTATTTTGCATTAGCAAAACTCAAAGGTAATAATATACATGGTTTTAAGAAAATATGCATTTTCTTATAGCTTAATTCAATAAGTAGAGGAATAGAAAAGTATAAAACCATACTCATTGTCATTGAATAGGAGTCTACTCATAGCTGACCCTCTATTGAGTGTCTGAGACTGTAAATCACATGGGAGGAGATTGCCACTGTTGGGTTCAGTCACCAGAGAGGCTCAGCCTTTGGTTTAGCAGTCCCAACTCCCATTGTAGTGATCATGGTGGTGATCATGAGGTCAGCATGGGTTGTTGGTGACACCTATCAACAAGAACAAGAAGCAAGGAAGTAAACTTAACAAAGTATGCTTTAGAAAATATAATTTTAGAAGAATTACCAAAACGTAGATGGAAAACATGAGTCTGCCCCCCCCCCACAGGTTGTAAAGCAAAATTCAAATGCATTTCTACAGTCAAAAACCCAAAACTAAAATTTAAAAAAGCAAACAGAACAAAACTACAGGGGAGGGGGGACAGCCAAACCTTTCCTTTAAATATTATCTTTGTGTTGTTTTACTTCCTAATATGTACAGAAGGTGTGTCTGAATTATTAAATTTGGATTGGCAAAATATTCTCAACCATTAAATAATCTCCTCCTTGAGAGG